CAAAATCCAGTCATCCATCTATAGACTGAAGAGAACGTCAGGTTGCGGCCAACTGCTTGACACCTTGACTTTCTCCCATTGTGATACGCGCGGTCGCTTTTATGGACACGCGTAATTACTCGATCGACGTGAAGGTGTCGAGATCCCGGGCGTGCGATATAAAACCAGCGTCCACACGAAACGCCGGCTGAACGGAGCGGTAGCGCGCGGGGGGATCGAGAAGAACGAGCATGTGGGTGAAGGCTGCAGCGCGGAGGGCTCTCCAGGATGTGTCGAAAGTGAAACCCAAGGTTCCCGCGAGGCAACTTGGTGTTCGCCACACTGCCGAGGAGCACACCGCGTTCGTCCTCGAGGCGCTCGATCACTGTTTCGAATCGAGATCGATCCTCGATCTAGCTGGAAATGTGACCGTGAGCAGTGTCCGACTGGAAACATCCCACCCTCTTTCATTGTGCAACGAACAAACGTTGTCGTTGTTCTTAGCCGCAGCCACCCATTGAACGTGTCTGTGCTCTCTTGCCTCGAGTTCCTTCGTTTTTCTATTATTATCTTCTCGTTTGGCATATTCTCTTCTGTTACTCTCTTGTTTCGTTTCACAATATCGTGGCCCCTTCTTCGATTTTACCTCCTTCCTTTTAGAATGTAGTTCGTATTTCGTTATTATTACGAGCAGCATACCGTGGTTCATTTCGGAACGATTCAAGGATTAGTGTAATTCAACTTGGCTCGACGTCGGGGAACGGGGTCTGTAGGCTATCTGAGATGCGATCTACCATCCGTGGTCGCGCAGAGAATATGTGTTTGCACGTAGAAACTTCTCCGCGAAGTTGGCAAATTCTTGGAGAGACGCTTAATACCGTAACGCAGTCACGTATAAATCTATTTTATCTTTCAGTCTGCCGAATCACCTCTGCCAGTGTCGACTGTTTGCCCAAGTTGGCCCAATTCTAACGAGGGTTGTTTCTTCGTTGGTGGACGAATGTTCGAGAGCTCCTCTAAACACAGGCTTCCAGTGAGAGATCACTATGCGTGGCTGGAAACTGAACTGACTCTACAGATCGTTACTTCTTATTGCTTGGCCTTCTTGGTCGTCTTCAGTGGAAGGAAACACGTTAAAGTGGTGCAAACTGCAATAAAGGAGTAAATTGTGATATTCCCGAGAAGAGAGACGGAAGATCGGACGAGGGATTTAACTTACGTAAGATCAAGCACGCCAACTGGATCATGGGTGCGATGCATCCTCGAGCCAGTAAAATTGGAAACAGCATGTTCCCAACGATCGATCCTATTCTACCGATTGTCATCACCATGCTCACTGCGATCGTCCTAATTTTTGGGGGAAAAAAGGGGAACGTTCCGTTTTAATTTATTAATCAATGTTGAACCTCTAACGTGTCTAACGGTTATGTATTATCAATAATAAGAACGCAACCTTAGAGAAGTTGGAAACATGATGACAGTTGCGGCGGTGATTATATTCTGAGTGGTGTTCGTCAGTCCAATGAAGAAACTGGTTAGAATTAACGTTATAAATATTGTCGACGACCAGTACAGACCGATTATACACGCGAACGCTACTCCGTAAGAAATATCTGCAATCGTATTATCGTCCGTGTTATTGCCGAGTTATCCGCGTATTACAAAACACTCGCCGGCAAACACTTACACAGTAAGATTTGGTGGCTCAGTATATTCAGTAGGAAGCTATTCAACAGAAGAAGAAGACATCCGAAGGCGGCTACAATGATCGTGTTCACGTAAACAGAGTCGTCGACGACAATCTGGAAAATTCAAAGAGCATCGCGTTCATCAGAGAATTTTACCCGGCGAGTAGTGGTCGGAAAATTGATCGAAAGAGGGACGATGAAAGCTGAAGGCTGCAAATTATTAGATTTCCCCACGTTTGTACAAGTCGCGTTTCCCGCACTGGCTGCGAAAGTTCCGTTCGCAACGGCGGAGAGATCCAAGATTTCGCAAAACGTCGAACTGTGCTCCGCCGTCAGATTGTGATCCGCCGGATCGAAATTTTCCAGTATCGTGAAAAGCTGAGGCTGCCACAGGCGAATCGTGTTGGTTCTGCGAAAGAACGCGAAGAACGTAAGGATATTACATTCGCTTCCCTCTTCTTCGAAAACGTGCTTCGACAACACTGCTTCTTTTTACTCTACGTTTCGTGGATTTTGCTACGATTATTTTTTTTCACCTAATATGATCGCGTCACGTCTCGATCCCTCGCGTTTCATTGCACGCGAGAACGCGACGTATTTATAGATAAAGCAAACGTGATCCCGTCACAAGTGGCTTCCGACGAAAGCGATTTAAAAAGTCATCTCGCTAACTGCTTTTTAACTGACATCGATTTCGTTTCATCGAATCACGAATCACTCACGTGTACATCGACCCAAATTGTATGATCATGACCAAGATAATTCGAGGCATATGAGGATTAAAGAAAATCGCCTTCTTCTCTATTTTCCCATCGTGATCGTTATCGAATCCTGCTTTAGGGAGCTCGTTCTCTAAATATTGTATCTGAAACAGAGATCGTTTTGATCATCGTCGGTAATATTTAAAATATTTAAAACTGATTTGTTGGAATTCTGGTTTTCTAGAATTCTTCTGGAAAATAAAAAAAAAAAATAAAAAAAAAAGAGAAAGAATCATTCGAACAACCGAGTCTCGAATTTCTCACCGGGTACTCGTCCGCGGATTTCCCCGTGTTTATTCTGTAAATCTTCTTGAAAACCTTCAACGCGTCGTCCATACGACCCTGCGACATGAGGAATTTCGGGCTCTCCGGGAACAGGGAGAGACAACTAACGCCGATCAATATTGGCACAGCACAAGTGGATAGAAAGAGTCTCCATGAATTATAGACAAACGCGCCGTCCCACAGGACGACGGACCAGCGTTGTGGAACGATGATGAACGCCAGCCCTGCAAGATTCACCGACGTGACGAGTGTTTTAAACATTGGATTTTATCTCGATGTGGCACCGTACCTGCGCTCACGATATTTCCAAACGTGACGGAAAACCCGAGGATCAATGGGATTTTCCCTCTTCCGTTGTTCCCGAAGAACTCGAAAGCGTACGCGATGATGGACGAGTAGGGACCGCTTATTCTGACGGAATGGAATTTAAAGAAAAATTATTGAAACGAAATAGGAATACAATCTGAGAACGTATGTATAATAACTGTTCTTGATTCAGTATCGGATTGATATTCAAACGAATCCGGGATCTACGTAAATGAAAGACTCACATGAAACCATTGAGGAACTTGAAACACGCGAGCATCCAGAAATTCTGCGAGAAGCCCGACAGAATGTTACAAATACTGTCGGCTAGGTAGCCGTAGAGGAAAACGGATCTCCTGCCTTTGACATCGGCGATATAGCCCCACAGGAAACCACTGGAAACCATTCCTGAAACGTTCGAACATAAGTGAATCATTGTACGTTATTGCAGACGGCGAGTAGATTTAGCACCATAGTCAGACACGAAGTAGTAGTAGTAGTACAGACCAGTCTCTCGCGAGATTTTGTGGCGAACAGATGTACAACTATCATCATTGCACAGTTCACAAAATAGTGTCCATCGCGATCTATTTTTAAATTTGGATGGGAAAAAATCATGTTTACGACAAGAGTATGTTTACACGGACCTATATACATGACGGCATTTAGGACACCCTTTTGAAAGAATGTCATTTGTAAATCACACTCTGCGGAGGGGAGGATGATCGCGATACTGGAAGTGTCGATGCTCGTTGCCCAAGACACCGGGATAATTGCCAGAAGCAGAAGATACTGAAATTTTCCATGGCCAGCTGCGGCAATGGCTGCCTCGAAGTTCGCGGTCTTCCTCGTTCGATTTGCTTCATCTGTTCAACAAAACTTGAGTTGAACAAAACTTAGACACGTTTTTTTAAAAAAGCGTCCAAATGTTTAAGTATGTATGTATGATTCTCTGGCAAAAGCAAAACTCACTTGACTCGGTTTTCTGGTCTTCGGTAAGTTTATCTGGTACAGTAATGATGCTGAGTCTATGATCATGCGCCATTCTTGTAATCTTCCACGTCGGTCGTAATTTTTCATAAGCTCTGCACGATTTACACTGCGAAATCTCGTCTGAGTTTCGCTTGCCCCAGCATGTACGCCTTTCTATTCGACTCTAAGTATACAATACTTGTTCAACTGTCGAAACGTGTCGGAGATACAACTACAGGCATGTCCTAAAACGACTTAATTAAACGGACTGATGGAGGCAATATAACGTTATGTCGCCATAACACACACGCTGAGTAAGATACCCACAAACAGTTTTATCTGCTATGTATACAACCGCCAGCAATTTATCAGTGATGTAATGCCAGGAGTATCATAAACATCCAATGAATATGTAAAAATGCTCGATCGATCAATTGACAGCTAGTAAAGTTGTAAAACAAGTCGCTGGCTTGATTTATCTTGGCGTGTCAACGTTCGTTGATTGTTTCTGTCAGTCGTGATTTGAACGTATCTCGTAGTGGTAAAAGATGTCGAAAAAAAAAGTTTAAATAAAATATTTAGAAAATTGCTTCGGAAGATTTTTCTACTTGCGTGCGAATAATTTTTTTGAATTTCTGGGCAATGTTTTTTTTTTTATTGCGTTGAACAATAAATTTTTAAATAATGTACGAATCCCATCATGCATTTTTTTTAGAATTATTGGGAATTACTTACACTTTAAACATTGACATTTCACAGTCATCTAAAAAAAATCACAGATTGACTTTTATTTAAAATTTAATTTTAATCTTTCAATTAATAAATTAAAGCAATTGCAAAATGTACAATTTGGAGACTTTCTATCTCGAAAATATTCATTCAAATTCGATAAAAGCAAAATCACCGCGAATGTAATATGAGTCAACGTCGCGCAACTCGCGCGAGGCTTTAATTATACTATTATCTTTCTTCCTTACACGACAACTCGCTAGAGTAAAACTCACCGGATTTACACTGACGATTTTATCGATTAAATTATTCTTTTCCGTCCGCTGAATTTGCTTCTTTGAAAGGAGAACGAAAACAATAAAGAAGAAAAGAAAAGCGATATCGAATATTTTCTTCTCTCTTCTTCTTTATTATTCTTTCTCTCCTTTTCTAAATAATTCGTTGACTGAAATAACAGTGTGTTCTTCCACATGCATGTTCTCGCATATGTTATAGAAACCGTGTTACACTTTCTTCGCAGCCTTGAAAACGATGATTTCAACATCTTCCTTGCAACTGCTTATCGGGATCGCTTTACGAAACACGTCTAGTAGCTGATACCATAATGACGCGCGATATAGTAAATCATAATACGTATCACGAGGCAATAAAGCATATATAACTCCCATGTTCAGATAAGTATTCCTCGTATACGGAATAGAAATTCGTGGAAATAATTTGAATCATAATCGATTGCATCATTCGTCGACTGAATTTATGCCAAAATTCGCCATTACATGCGATCGTTTTTTTTTACAATAAACAAACCTATAGAATTAGATCGTTTGTTCCCTGAGAATTGAACATCAATTGTACACTTACGTAACGAAAGCAAGAAATCATCAAAGAGTGGTGTCGATCAGCCCAACCTCCGCGAGGTCCAATTACGTATTGTAATCAAGACGAAAAGGATGAAAAGTCGATAAATTTCAACTTCTTTGAAGCTTGAAGAGGAGCAGAGAAGGGGAACGAGAGGGGAACGCTTTGTCCGCGGTAATTAGCAATGCAGTTGGTTAACTTCGCGTTAACGATCAACAAATTGTGGTCATTTCTTTTAACTCGCGGTACGCTTACACGCTTCGCGTACTTTGACAGTAGCTTTTGTTCCTTTGTCTTGCGGCCGATACAGGAAATATCATGCCCACCCTGACCTTACGTCCGCGATACCGCCGGCCAGATACTCGTTGAAAACGATCGAAGCTCCTGCGAAACTAACTGCCATTGTTTCCATCGGGATCTCGATTACCGATGGACGAGAAGCCTGGAAGGAAAAATCGTAAGAATTCTATCGTTACGCCGGTTTCTTGCCAAATTTCTGCTCTCTTCTCCTGTCTCGTTCCTTGAAACAATTACCTTTCTTGTTTCTATGTAGATGTTTCGTCGAGATAGCCTTCTCGATTGAAGGACTCTCGACAAAAACGGTTCTTGTTCATGTGTTTCGTTTTCAGGAAATTCAAAGGGCATTCTGATCAAATTATTTTTGACAGGATATTTGTCAGGTCGGGTAATTGCAAGAATCGTCGCCTGTTACAAATCTGTAGAAGCGTCGAGCCAATATAAACTCTGTGTAGCTTCGCCTGCTAGACGCGGAGTCTAATTAATTTCGAAGCGGTATAATTTCGTTAATTTCGAATTCGCATTCTTGGAATCATCGCCCGTAAATACGATAAGCGGAAATTAATGAAATTTACTCTTGCCTCCTCGTTACCGTGATCATCGACACGACAGAATGCCTCTGCCAAGCGCATTATCACATTAATACGATGCATCTAGAGTCGCAACACAGGTTGTCGATATCCCTTGAATCTTTATTCAAACACCAATGATCGCGAATGTTACCAACGCGTACGAATCAAAGCAGAATCACTTGATCTTATCTTGCACGCGAGCCTTGATTTCTCCGGAGGATCCGTTGACATTGTCATAGAAAAGCTGTTGCTGGCTCCTCAGCCGTTGCCTATGTTCGTTGCTAGCTTCTATCGCCTGTCGATACTCCAACGAGTTCATGTACTCCGCCACCTTGATCGCGAGAGAAGAAAAAGAATTACAAGGTCAGGCGGGTTCGTAAGAACGCGAAGTTCGTTTCACCGGACTAATTAAAGTTTCCTGTTTTTTTTTTTTTTTTTTTTTTTT